TTGTTTTACTGTGACTTTGAACAAAGCCTTGTTTTTCCCAGGATGACCTTATAAAGACTGAACCTGGAAAAGACACGTTCAGGTGTGATATCTGGAAGTCATACTTGGGTCCACTTCCATGTCTTACCCTTTCGCTTTGGATGTAGCCTATATAACCTTTGGGATGGTAGACTTGCTGCTGTTAGATTGGAAGCTGAAGTAATAGTTATTTTAAGATGGAGCTGTCAGTGTCCATCCCACAAAGAGGCTTGCCTAGGGTTTGGGCTACCATGCAAAAACTGTTCTCTGCCTGTAGTCCAGCACTCAGGGGGCTGAGGCAGGAGGATCAAGAGTTTAGGACCATCTTCAGCTATATATCAAGGAAGCAGAAAAGACAAGGAAAGAAAAGAAAACCCGTTTTCTCAGTATCCTGACTTGATTAGTGGATTTTTGAGTCAAAATCCTTAAATATCTGATATCTAATACTGTGTAACTGTAGCTGTCTTATTTTTTTTCCTGGATGATGTTATTCTGCAGAAAACATTGGTAGCGTATGTTATACACCAAATGAAATCAACAACAGGTATTTCTTCTTTCAGATTATTTTAAAAATATTCTGTATCTACTGATTTTTTTTGTTTGTTTTTTGAGACAGGTTTCCCCTGTAGCCCCAGCTGGCTATGTAGACCAGGCTGGCCTCAATCTCAGATATCTACCTGCCTCTGCTTCCCTAGTAATAGAATAAAGGCGTGTGCTACTTTTTTTTTGGTTGATTTTGTGGGAAAACACAAGCAAATCTTTTCTTTGTGGTTAGTAATGGATTTGGTATTTTTTAGAGTCTATCAAAGGGGTCTCTCTACAATTAAGGATCTAGGGTGTAAACTGATATACCTTATTTTAAAATTTTAAGTTTTTTTTTGAGAGATTTTAAGTCTTCTAGATTTAAGCAGGGTCTTAAAGGAACGAATTTGGCGTTGTTTTTTTTTTTTTTTTTTTTTGACGTGATGTTGAATTTTTTATTATGAAGGGAAGCGTTTAATGTTTTGTAGCAATCTGACACTGTTCTGACAGGCAGAAGTTTTAAACTGTAGAAAAAAAATGTTTGTTTTAAATTTTTTTTCTGGGAGCCGCCTTGGGAAGTTACAAGCCTCTAGGTTTGTAGAAAGAAAGTTGTAGTTTAAATCTTTTGTCTGGGAGCCGCTTTGAGCTCTAGGTGCTCGGCAGGGGCTAGTTAATTTAAATTCTCACTGAATCGGTTTTAGCTGTGGCTTGAATGTCCTGCGGGGGGCAGGATAACGAAACTGACTAGGGAAGTCTACTTTTAGAAGGAGAAAAGAGAAAAGGAAAGATTTGCCAAGCCCCACGAGTGGGGTGGCTTTGGCACAGCCGCCTTTTTAGTCTAGATGAAAGAAAGAAAAAAAAGATTTGTTTCTCTCCTGGTGGGAGAGGTACTCACGAATCCTGCGTTTCAGTGCGTGCCAGCTCCTAGCTGGCACGAGGTTCAGAGGCCCCACGTTGGGCGCCAGATATGGCGCGCTGGGCGCCAGGTGTGGGGTGCGCGGGTACCCCACACACACCTGGAGAGTCGCGGCGCGGGTCCCGCGGGCTTCTCCGCTGTGCCCCGTGCCGCGTCGCTCTCCGTTGCTTGAGGTGCTGAAGGTCTCGCAGCACCGCGGCTCCGCGTTTCTGTTGTGGCAGTGAGTCTCTGCTTCTCTGCTGCTTCCCTGCGTCTTTCGTGGCTCTCTGCTGCTGGGGCTTTGCCCAGCCTAGTCCCGCCCTAATTTCACCCGTGCACTTTCCTCAAGATGTGAAATCCACCGGCCGCTGGATCACGCGGGAGAGTGTGAGGGCGGCTAAAGCTGGGATCCGTGAGTCGGTGATGGAAAGACAGCTCTTCCCGGGAAGGCTGGATCGTAGGCAGTGAGACAAGACTCAGCTCAGTCAGACTCAGTGTTACAGCTCTTTATTCAATGGCTCTGCGTGGCTCCAAGCCTCAGTGTCCCAGAGTGATCCAGCTCCTTCAATTATTGAGGGGAATCAGGGAACTTTATACTGTAGGGGCAGTGGTAAAAGCTTCAGCTGATAGGTACTTTGGGGATGCCTCATTTGTGTGTGGAAATGGGCTCCCACCAGGCTGCCAAACTGCTTGAAAATCACACAGGAAAGCCTAATAGTTACAGAGCCGGAGGCTACATTCCTGTGGCTGCTACTTCACAAAGGAGTCAGGAAAAATGCCAGGAAGGCACCCTGCTGTGAAAGGAGTCTCTGCATATGGCTCTGAGCTCGTGAGCTATCCGGACATGGAGAAACTTCTACTTTACACAACAGAGGTCCCCAACATGACACCACATCTAGCTCTGGTGACTTTTTTTTTAAATCCTGAATTATGGATCTGTATTCTAACTTTCCTTTGCTGTGATTAAACACCCTGACCAAAAGCAAAACCTTGGGAGGAAAGAGTTTATTTGGCATACTCATCCCCATCACAGTCTGTCACTGAGGGAAGCCAGGGCAGGAACCCAAGGCAGAAACCTGGTGGCAAAAGCAGAGACTGTGAAGGAACACTGCTTACTGGTTATTCTACTCCCTGTGTCTCCTGCTTTCTTATTCAACCCAGGACCACTTGCCCATCACTCAACAGTCAAGAAAATGCCTCACAGACATGCCCAGGGGCCAGTTCAGTATAGGAAATTCCTCAATTGAGGTTCCTTCTTCCCATAAGTGTCAAATTCAGAACTGAAGCTGTCTAGCACATGATCTAACATAAAAGATGATCTTAATGTGATTATCCTTCTTTTACTGATAGAGAGGTTATCTCCCAGGGGAAAGTTTGTGTTTTCTTTTTAGAAGACTGAAAATTCTACATTGAGTGACACTTTGGTGATTTGATTTCTTAAAGGTAGTAGCACATAGTTGATCATTCTAAATCCCCAGGAGTTTAATGCATGACAGTGGTTCCAGAATGTGCCCAAAACGATAGAAACTGAGTGGAAGCAGAACTTTTGCAGAGAGGCAACCAGTCACCAGTCAGGAGAAGGACTTACTATTTATTTTGATCATGGGAATGTCAAATGATAAGAACAAGTCTCTCATAGTTCCTTGGAGGAAGTGCTGTGTGAATTGGCTGTGGGCCCTTATAATTGAGAAACTCCAGTATAACTGGATACAAATGTTTTGCAGGGAAAAGTCTAATGTAACATGTAAAAACACAAAAAGTGAAAATGTTCAGAAAGTGTAATTTGCTCTTTTGTTTTTAGTTTGTTTTTTTTGTTGTTGTTGTTTTGTTTTTTTGTTGTGGATATTTTTAACATAATACTTCTGGTATAAAGTGACACCGCTTTCTTGGGGAGATATGGTTTCAGTTTCTTGGGTGAATGTCTATTGTAACTTTTTTTTTTTTGTCTTTTTGAGAAAGGGTCCCTGTAACCCCAGCTGGCCTGGAACTCACTATGTAGACCAGTCTGGCCTTGAACTCACAGAGATCATCCTGTCTCTGCCTCCTAAGAGCTGGGATTAAAGGTGTGCACCACCATGCCCAGTGTGCATTTTAACTTTTAAGAATAGAAAATGAGCACTAAAAGACTTTAAAAGTACTTTATTCTTTATATACTATCACTGAGACTCTTTTTTCCCCCCCTGGCAATACTGGGGATTGAATCTAGGGCCTGATGCATGCCAGTTAAGTGTTCTACCACTGAGCTACAGCACCAGCCCTTACAACTAAGAATTTTAAGCTAGGAAAATAAGAGTTGGGCCTTTCATTTAATAAATATATTTATTTTCTGCTGTTTTGTTCATTATAGTTGTTCATTATACCAAAGTACTTTCAAAAGTCAATGTTTGAGGACTCTATGATGCAGCTTCTGTGTGGTCACAATACATCGTGGTGTGGGACTTTGTGGTGATATGGTTGTTTAGGGGCCTCCCATATACCTTTAACTCGTTGTGCTTTATAAGAAAGCCCAATAAACTGGGCATGGTGGCCCACACCTTTAATCTGAGCAGTCTGGAGGCAGAGGCAGGTGGATCTCTGAGACCAGTAAACTCCTTCATCTCACCAAAAAAAAAAAAAAAAAAAGAAAAAAAGTAGAAGTTAATGCTCATTTTGGCTGCATATTTCAGCATCTCTGCATAATAAATTAGCCTGTCTTTTGATTTTCATGCTGTGCTAGAGTAGTGTGTAACATTTAGATACGTGTATGATGTTTAGTATGTTAACAGTGTTAAATAGGTCAAATTGTGGCCTGCTGAAGCCAGGTACACAGTGTGAGCATAGATATGACATGATTGGCCTTTTCCAAGTCACCCAACCCTTGTAGGCATTCCTCTTCTGTGAAATGAGTGGTGTGGGGGGTACTTGACCTCCAAGAATCTTTCCCAATATGAATTTTTAAGAAATTAAAAAAAATATTTTCTTTATTAATTTTATTTTATGTGTACAAGTATATTGCCTGCAAGTATGTGAGTGTACCTGTGTCATGCAATGTGTGGAGGTCAGAGAGGGCTGCAAATTCCCCTGGAACTGGAGTTAAGGATGGTTCGTAGCTGCCATGTGGGTGCTGGGATTGAACCCAGGTCCTCTGCAAGAGCAGTCAGTGCTCTTAACCACTGAACCATCTCTCCAGCTCCCCAATATGAATTTTGAAAACCCATCATAGAACTTGGAAAGTGGGCAGTAGGCCTCAGCCTTAGCCAAGGAACTATTGGCTGCTAATCAATGCTGAGTGAGGGAGAGCTGATCTTCTTTAAGGGAAGAAGGCTGACTAGACTCCAGTGGATGAACTCACACCAAGGGACATCTGGGTACACAAACTTGATTTGATAGGCCTTAACATATATGATAGAATGTATGAAATCCTATAAAGGAGTACAGATGGGGGAGGGGGTGTAAATATGATTAAGATGTATTGTGTAAGATACATAAAAATTCATTAAAATATACATTAATTCTCTGTATGCTTAGTGGACATGCAGCTAATTGATTTCTCTTTTCTGCCTTCCTTTATCTCTCTCTGACTTAGGAAAAGAGGATTCTCATGCACCAGCTACAAAAGACGAGAACACTTCCCTGTCACAAGACACAAGAGCTTTATCAGAGAAGTCACTGCAGAAATCAGCAAAGGTCATTGCTAACTGATCCTCTCTACTCCTCAGATAGCCCTCACTTGGGCTATTTGTCAGAACTGTAGCTGTTAATCAAAGAAGTCAGTAGAAGCAGGAAATTAGGAAAAGTTAACAGGATTTTTGTTATTTATTTGTTTGTTTTGGGAAAAAGGAACAAGACATCTAGATTTTTAGGTTTTGATCCATTTTTATAATGCTATGCCTATATATTTAAAGATAAATTTTTAGTGTCTTTTTTCCCTTTTTAGTTTTTCCAAAGTGCTCACTTCATTTATCATGTAAATAATAATTGTTTTTACTTTTCTGCTTCAGTGTTTTTTACCATTCAGAAAATTTTTTAAAATTGCATTTGCTAGTGGCATCTTCACGTGTAGGACAAACATAGTTGCCTTTATTCATTGTGGCGCAAGTACTGCAAGGAGAAAAGACAGAATGGAGCATGGTGTAAGATGCCCTGCACCAGAGGCGTTCATCAGTGTGTTTACTCTGGGAATCACACGGCTACTCTCCAGCGATGTTGCTGAGGGTCCCTCTCCTGCTTATTGATGTAAGGAATTTCTAAGTTATGCTGTGTGCTCCCCCTGTTGCTCATGCAATTATCCACAGCCTCATATCAATAGGCCTTCTTAGGACTCACCATGCACCATGCTAGATGGAAAAGGTTATCCTCAGTGGTCAGCCTCAGGGCTAAGTCAGGTTTGCCTTCCTCATTTCATTTTCACAGTTCTTCTTTGATCACTTCTTATGATTTTTGAGATGAGAAATTTCAAAATTATACTACATATTGATAGGTTTTGAGGAGAGAGAGAGCGGGTGGTGGAGAGCACGAGCGGGTGGATGAGGCACTGAGGCACAGATGGAATTCTCAGCGGGATACAGATTTATTTTGCACGGGGCACCTTTCCCTCAGGGAAGGGAAAGATGTCAGGGGGGAAGGGAAGGGAAGGGAAGGGAAGGATGTCAGAGAAGGGAAGGGTATCAGGGAAAGATGTCCGCCCACGTGTTGTAAGCTGGGACTTTATATATGGGGGCTTTAGGGTGTGGAAGGGGGAATGTTTGGGTGAGAAATCAGGGAGGGGGAAGCAGGTAGGATTAGGGTGTGGAAGTGTTTACTTTTTCCCTCTTAAGATGAGAGAAAAACAGCTTCTTCTAAAATCTCTGGTTATCAGGTAGAATCTGCTTATCTTTGGAGGTTAAAGGAAAGGCAGGCTGCTTCTCAGCAGAGTTTGTTTCCCTTGACTCCAAAGGTCAAGGTGAGGTCCCTGTTGGGGAGGGGGGAAACTGCAGCTTTTTGGAACCCTAACATTCCAGCCTTTTGTGTTATAGGATAGGGGGTGCCGTTGTCATCTTGATACTTCCTGCTGGACAGGGTTGATGTGAGGGGTAGGCTGGTTTAGGGGTCCACTAGGCAGCAGGGGTTGTCTCTCCATGCATCTGAACAGGGTCCTCGATGGTTGACAGGCATTCGTATACATGTGAAGGGAAGGAAAGTAACAACTGATTTAAATTAGTATGCGTTAGTTTTCGGATCTGGTTCTGAAAATATCTGACAAGGCAAGGAGCAATAGTTAACACCAAAGTGATAGAAAGCAGAGGGCCCAATAAGGGCAGAAGCCAAGGAGTTAGTCCTGTAAAAATGTCCCATTGAGATGACTGTTGGTACTGGGAATTTTTAAGTGAAAGATTTTTTAATGACTGGAGCACAGGTGTCCTCAATCTGTGGAGAGATGCAGGAGTATATTTTGGAAGAACAGAGAAAGAGCAGTACAGAGGTTAGAGCAGTATTTTCCTTAATTGCGACATTTTGGCTTGATGAGTGTGGGCATTTAGAGGTTCCTGGAGTCCAACATTCTGTTTTGTCAAGAAAAAGGGGAGGGGAAGGCAGGGGTCCTGACTCGATGACATCGGTGAGAGACACTATGGCATGTGGGACACCATTGGGGTGAGGGTTAAACTTCTATCCATAAACCAAGTTAGGGTTGGGTTTGATAGGGGATTTGGGGAAATTAGGGGATCCTGGTAGGAGAGTTCCTGAAGAGTTTCCAAGCATGAGTGAGTGAGTGAGCGGTTCGCTGGAAGGGAGGTAGGAAGCTGGATTGAGAGGAGGGCAGGGATCAAGGGTGGGCAAGGGATTTTTAAAGAAATGTGACATGGAAGAGTTGTAATTTAGAGGGAGCTAGATTGGCAAGAGACATGTGGGTTACTTAAGCTGGTGGGGGAAAGGACAGAGATGGGCTGATCCAAAGTGAGCTTAAGTCCCTCTTGAGCCAGGAGAGCGGTAGTGGCCAGCGCACGGAGGCTAGTTTACCGACCCTGGATGGTGGTATCAAGCTTTTTAGAGATAATTTACTGGGGCAAAAGTGGGACCCCCTCATATGTCCCAAAACCCCTAATGCCTGCTCCTTATATTCAGTTGTGTTGAGAAGAAATGGACATTTGAGGTTGGGGAGAGATAGAGCCAGTGCCTTTAAGAGCACTTCCTGGATAGTGTGCAATGCTGTGGTAAAAGGCCCTAAGGGGCCAACAGGCTCCTGTTCCTCTCGGTTATAAAATACTTTAAATGCCATGTCCAACAGATCTCTCGTGGGGGATTCAGGGCCCTTGTCTAAGCGCCTAAGTTTCCTCAGCTGTACATTGTATATGACATACATATGCACCATATACATTCTATATACGTGATAAAGCTGTACCTATTTTGTCTCACCTGTGCAATATTTAAATTTTTTTACTTAATAGTTTATATTAAACAAACAAGGAATATTTACATAAAAATCACTCACCATTAATCCCAGCACTCTAGAGACAGAGGCAGGCAGATCTCTGAAATCAAGGCCAGCTTGGTCTACATAGTGAGTTCCAAGCTCTGTCTTAAAAAGATGAAAAAAAAATAGACATCTTGCTTGTCTTATCAAAGCAACCCCTGACTGCACTGTGCCCTGGTCCTCTGACTGTAATTAAAACTGGGTAGAGGTAGCCTCTGTCCATATCCATGGAACTATGTCCTCTGATTTGCTACTGCCCTCCAACCTTGCTTGTCTCTTCCCTCCTTCTCTCTTTTGGATAATATTTATTAATGAATTCAACCTAAAATTGTAAGGCAAAATAGTACTCACATGAAAAACTTACGTTGAGTCGGAGTCATTTCTGGGATAGCTAACATTGTGAGAATAATAGGTAATGCCTCGCTACTCTCTGTAGTGTCAGCAAGGACTTGTTTTTCTCCTCTCCCTAAATACAACTATAAATCCGGGGGAGGCGATCAAATGAGAATTATGGGAGGTAAAAAAGGAGGGTGAGCCAGTTAGGAACTTTAAGAATTGAGAAAGTAGATAGTAGAAGGGACCTTACAGCACTAGGGTTTCTGAATCCCAACACAGCAGTAGAAGGTAGCCCAGGGAGACTTACTCCTCAGAGAGAAAACTCTCCAGAAACACCAGGTGCTTGCAAAGGAAATTGATCAGGAGCTGTGACTAGTAAATGACCAGGAGGAGTACTCTCCTTTTACCTCAGCACCAAACTTCTCTCCCTACCAAGGGACAGCAGGCATCTGAGTGGCTCCCACACAAGAGATCCCACTACAAGAAGCACCCAGTTCAGGAAATCTTTTTGTTCCTTGGGTCAGGGACACTCCTTTTCAACTTAACAGGTACCAGGCAACCTGAGGACCACAACGGAAAGGATCTTGCCTGAACAAGCAGCCTGACATAAAAAGCTCCTTCAGCCTCACCCAGAGGACACAGCCATTAACCATCAAGATCCTGCCTGATAGTCATGTGATCCCTGTGACCTAAGGGCTCCCCTCTTGTACCTGGAGATGCTCAGCAGCCCATTAGCACCAGCAAGAGAGACCCTGCCATAATAAGAACCTCCAAATGGGAAGACTCTGTCCTTGCAGGCCAGAGATGGCCATTTCATACTTTAGGTGGCCAGCTTGTGGGATTCCCTTCTATCTCACAGCCAAAACCAGTAGATACCACTTGGAGTTCTGGTGGCAGCATTTAAACCAAACATATCAAAATGATACTGCAAACAGAGTTACCAAAGCCTACCACAATAGGTATCTGCCTTCTAAAGTGAGAGGCTTGTAGGACCCAGAGTCTCTTAAGGTGAGAGCCAAAAGGTCCATGATACAATTGAAAACCATTCAAGTATGATACCAAGAATGAAGAAAATCACATCTTGAATAAGAAAACACATTCAGTTGATGCCAACACCAAGTTATTATGGTTATTTGTCAAGAGCCATTATGAAGGGGGCTGGAGATATGGCTCAGCAGTTAAGAGCACTGGATATTCTTGCAGAAGACGTGAGTTTGAATCCCAGCACCTAATGGCAGCTAACAACAGTCCATAACTCCAGTTCCGGGGGATCCAAGAGGCCCTCTCTGTCCTCTATGGACATTGCATGACACAGGTGCACTAACACAAATGCAAGCCATATACTCATATACACATTTTAAAAAGCTATTATAAAGTTCTTTAGCAAGTAGTTACAAATTCTTTTGAATCATTTGAGAAAAGATGTCAGTAAAGAAATCGAAGTTATAATCTAACAAGAACAGTAATTTATTTATGTTTAATAACATTTTAAAAAGATTGATTACTGTGTTGTTAATGGGAAACACTAGTGTTCTTTATGTGGAACAAATACTTGGCACTGTACACCCCTGTTGGAGTTCACATATCTTTATAAGACAGGGCATGGTTATCAAAAACATTTTCATCTACTATATCCGTGTGTTTTGTAGTTTTCTTGCCCCCCCCCCTTTTTTTGCTTACTGGATGCTTGATTTGTTGCAACTTAGATCTACATTAGTTACAGAACATCACAAACAACCACCTCACACTGGCTCCCCAAAGCAGCTAGGCCCAGCTAGTTGGTCAGATAATGTTCTACTGGCTTTCTGACTGATGCTTACTATATAGAAAAATAATGCCTTTGTCTTTCGTGTTTTCAGGTGGTTTACATCTTGGAGAAAAAACATTCCCGAGCAGCAACTGGCATCCTCAAACTCTTGGCTGATAAGAACAGTGAACTGTTTAAGAAATATGCACTGTTTTCTCCTTCAGACCACCGAGTGCCTAGAATTTATGTACCTCTCAAAGACTGTCCCCAGGACTTTGTGACCCGACCTAAAGATTATGCCAACACACTGTTCATTTGCCGCATAATAGACTGGAAGGAGGACTGCAATTTTGCTCTGGGGTAAGTGATCTCTAAAAGAAAAGAAACTTCAGGGTGCAGTATAAGACTTACTCAGTGTAGGTGGGCTTTAGGTAAACACCGTATGTGCTTTAGTTTTTACTTCTTTTTAAAAATTTTCTTATTTTATGTGTATGAGTGTTTTACATACATATATGTAAGAATACTGCCTGCATGCAATGCCCATAAAGGTCATAAGAGGGTGTTTGATCCCCTGGAACTGGAATTATGGACAGTTGTTAGCTGCCGTGTAGGTACTTGGAACTGAACCTGGTCCTCTGCAAGAGTAGTCAGTGCTCTGAGTTATTTCTCAGCCCCTAGATCTTATTTCTTTATTAAAGCCATGGTACTTGGTGCAGTTTGACTTGACTTTTAGAATGTGCCCTTAGCCGCCACCTCACCTATCACCTACAGATTTCTTGAATTTTCAGACAGTCACTCTTTGGAAATAAAATACAAATATATTCTGAGCCTCTTTTTATTTCGTGCTGTTGTGAATATCATTCATACTTGTGTACTGCAGACAATTTCTTGTATGAACATTCAGTTTTCTGTTAAAATTTAAAAAGTCCCACCATACTCAGGGGATCCCTGGCTTCTCTGTTTTAACATGAACATAAAGACATGTTTGAATGATGGGCCTGTTGGTATTGATTGTCCAGTCAATTTGAGTAATGCCAAAGGTTTCATCAATGGCATTATAAGCTAAATTACCCTATTATAAGAGGAATAAGGGTACTGTGTTTTTATGGGAGCTGTCAGAAGTCAATCTAACTAAAGCAAATATGTCATGGTCCTTAGAACATCAAGAGTTATCAGTTTATTTTATTTGAAGAAACTATTGGATCTAGCTGTCTTATAAATGCTATACCTATTTCTTCTTTTTTAAAATTTAATTTAATTTAAAAAAATTTTATGTGTATGATTGTATTGCTTGCATGTGTGTAAGTATACCTGTGTTGTGCAGTGTCCTCAGAGGTCAGAAGAAGACTTCAGATCCCCTGGGACTGGAGTTATGGATGGTTAGCTGTCATGTGGGTGCTGGGATTCAAATCCAGGTCCTCTGCAAGAGCAGTCAGTTCTCTTAACTGCTGAGCCATCTCTCCAGCCCCAATAAATGCTATACCTATTTCTTCTTACAGCTAATACTCATTTTGAAAAAAAAGTAATATTATGTCAGCCATATTTTAGTCCTTTGTAATGGTGCCTAGTTTTTGTATCATATGAAATGAAAATATAAGTCTGTAATGTAGAAGAGTCTGTTCTGACATTTACTTCTAGTCCAGTTTAGTGCCCATCTAACCTATAGAGGACCCCTCCCCCCCGGGATGTCCTGTGGTTAAGAGAGCCAATGCTGAATGGATGACTACTGGCCACTGTGTGCTGCTTGTATCAGATTTATTCTATACCTACTTTCTTACGCTTATCAATTAAGCGACATCAAATCTATGTGTCAGGCTGGGCTTGGTGGTGCATACCTCTAATTCCAGAATTTAGGAGGCAGAGGCAGGTCGATCTCTGTGAGTTCCAGATCAGCCTGGTCTATATAGCCAGTTCCAGGCTGACCAGGGCTATATAATGAGACCTGTCCAAAAATTTTAAAAAAAATGTGTATCATACTGATACAGTTTAAGAAACTCCATGCTACTTTTTGAGTATGTGAAAATCAGCATGATTTCCATGGTCTCAGAGCCACTTGGGGATGGTTGTGCTTTCTTTTCTGCTCTCAAGGGTGTGATTGCAGTATCATCATTTTTAATCCTGACTTATTATCCAAGAGTGACATCACCCTCTTGAGCTCTGAACAGTCCTTCCCACAGACTTGCCACTTTCTCCTCATCAAATCAAAGGGTCTGATGATGATCATGCCACTTGCCTCTGTTGATTGTGTTGTCACACTGTTGGGCAGTGACAAGGGAAGACTGCCATATCAAACCAGGACATCCAGTTTGTCTTTTATCTGCCTTTCTGCTGTTTTTCCATTGTGCAAACTTGAATGGACTGCTTCCTGAGATTTCAGGTCATAAGGGTGTAGTCAGGAAATCTTCCTGGCGTGTGTTTCTCTGTGTGAAGGCCTTGTAGGTGTTCACACACAGCTGAGCACTTACCTCACCGGGAACCTTGTCTAGAGTTAAGTGCAGCAGCAACAGCCACCAAGGGATTCAGGCCTTGGAAACAGAAGTATGTTTGCTGGTTCTAAAGGATATTTTTAAATGATAATCATATGTTATGTAATTTCCAAAGTAGAAATGAAATGTAATCATATTTAGATGGAAAGCTATTATTTTTCTCTACATTCTTAATATAAAGACATTCAAATTGTACTTTCTATAAATATGCCTTTTAAAAGCTTTGTGAAAAGATAAAATTTACTTTAAAAAAAAAATGACAGCTTTTCATAATGAAGTTCTCAGATGACGTCTGTTGCCTGCAGGGTGAGAGCTGCAGCTGTTGAGCATGTTGGTGGTCCCCTTGCTGTTTTGTTCTGGTTATCAGTTACTGATCTTTAGGAACTGAGGTCACTGTTTCCCAATCTGAACATGCTGTGCTATGACACCCAGGTTTCCTCCCTCATCTTTGCCAGACTTTGACAAGGAGCATGAGGTGGTACTTATGTGGGTAGGAGTGTGTGGTCAGTTTCTACTTAATGAGTGCCTAAAAACCCAATTTAGCAAAGGTGACATTCTTAATTTCTTTCCTGTGCCTACATCTCTGTCCTTAATGGTCTTGAGCCTCTTCTGCCTATGAAATTGCTACTAATGATTCAAGTCCAAAGTTATTTACCTCCTCTGTGGTTAAATTCAGTTCACCAGACAGGCTTGATATGTGTTAGGTGCTGTAGTATATTGCCTGAGAAGCACAAAGGCAAACAAGCTAGAGTCTCTGCTCCTGGAAACTGTAACATAGTATAGAAGGACTTGTATATACATGGCATAAGGGTAGTTTGACTCTAAGAAATGGAATCCGGCTTGTGCTAATTTAAATAAAAAGGGTTGCTGTGAGAAGCTGATGGGTCTCCTAAACCCATAGCAGAAAGGAATGGGAAGGCTCTGGGAAGCTCATAACTAACACTACAGCAAAAGGATTGCAGTTTGTGCCTGAAGCATCCTGGTCAGCCTGGCTACTGCTCCACCCTTCTGCTTCTCTTTGCACAGTAATAACAGCAGCGTCCATGACCAGTCTTCAGATCACATACTGAAGTCTGAATCACAAGACAGAATTCACGGGGCAGGGAATGTGAAGGGCTTTGTAGGGTCTTCATGCACAACTGAGCCCTTATCTCATCAGGAATCATGTCGAGGGTTAAATGCAGCTGTAGCTACCATCAAGGGATTGTATTGCATTGACAATTTTAAGACAGGTATCCTAGTTAGTAGTTTTAAGCAGATATGGGATCCAGAATCCAATGACCAGTGAACAAGACTGTGGACTCAACTCTTTGGAAAAGGACATGAATAAAGTAGAAGAATTGAATGCCCTGTCTTTCTGAACTCCCAGAAAGTAGTACAGTACAGAATATCATAAGTTCTTCCACAGAAATAAGAACTTTCTGGAAGTTTAGAGGAGATAGAAGGGGAAATCCAGAATCATTTCTTGAAAAACAGAAGGCTTTGCTAAAAATTCTATTGGACTGAGAATCTAGAAGGAGTAGGAAGGGACGTGACTAAGCAGTCAGAGACACTATGGGCTGTTTGAAGAAGAAATATTTTGGAGAAACAAAGATGATAGATTCTGCAAGATGTGGTGGTGGATTAGAAATGAGGCATGAAGGAGAAGGTAGTTTCTAGATGAACTTCTAGGCCTTAGACTTGGGTGAGAGGGTAGATGCTAGTGGCAGTGTAACCACAATGTCCTAAGAGCAGCCTTGGCTTCCAGCATATCCTTCCCTTATCCCTTAGGCTTTGCTCTTTCCCAGGGTGACTGTGTTTGTTCATTTTCCTAAACTTTTACATACTATACTTCCTTTTTTTATTTACTTATTTTTATTTTATGTGTATGAGTATTGCCTGCATGTATGTAAGTGCACCCATATCATGCAGTGCCCACAGAGGACAGAAGAGGGTGTCTGATCCTCTGGAACTGGAGTTACAATTGATTTTTAGCTGCCATGTAGGTGCTGGGAACTGACCCAGGTCCTCTGCAAGAGCAGCCAGTGCTCTAAACTGCTGAGTCATCTCTCCAGCCCCTCTACTTCCTAACAGTAGCTTTTATCTTTCTCCAGTAATTGGTGAAATATTCAAACTTTAAATTCAACTCAGCCATCGAAAAAGGCTTACTGACTTATGGTAGGCCTCCTTCTGGGGACCCTTATACATTCTAATAAGTCCACTGCTGTAGCTCAGATACTATTTGGATTGCAGTTGCTTTTTCAGCGTTTTGCTTGGTTATGAGCGCCTTTGATCAAAGATACCTTAGGATAAAGCTGGTCAGATGACTAGGTAGAAATGAAGGTGATCCTGAGGTCAGGAGCCAGGTTGATTAGAAAGATATACAGTAAGTTAAACTAGGAAATACATGAGGGGGAGGGTGATGAGTGGAAGAGGGGGAAGGCAAGGAGGAGGAAGAGGAGGAGGGGGAGAGGAGAGGAGGAGTTGGGGGCAGAAAATGATGAGAACCAAAGGTACATGGCCTTAAAACCAATGCCTGTTAACAGCATGTAACAAATAAATAAATCCTGTAGAAAAGTCAATTTTAGGAGGTACAGAAATTTAACAAAAAAGTTGAGTAGAATGCAAACATTCATGGAATATATAACATCAGTAGCTTTGGAAGGATCAATAAGGAAGTCACTGATCTTGGCTTCTCTGTGCTGCAGCATTGCTTCTCTGGCACCCCTGTGGCACATTGGCACCTCAATTTAAGGCAAGTCCAGAGGCCATTGCAGCTTGGGAGATGTGTTGTTATTAGAGTTACTTTCTGTCTTGATGTTAAATTGTCATGAGGCGTCTCATTTGAGCCTTGGTCACTCCTCTACCATGAATTTTAGTCTTGTGATGCTGTCA